CTGTGGCCGCCACGGTCATCAATCCGTACCCACCAAAGTGAAGTGCGCCTAGTGTAACACTCGAAACGCTGCGTGTATGTGCTTGTGCAAATGTATGATGACGTAGCGTGTGAACGTAGTGACGTTATGGCCAGACCTCCGAGACGGAAAAAATAGTGAAGAAGTGTACATGCAGAATGGTGCAAGATCTGTCAGTTGTCGCTTTTTCAGAATGAACGATAATGAAATGCAAACATTAGCACTGATATTGATCGATTACTTACGAGGGTTAAAACTATGCAATGGAAGTTAAGTGTACCATAGAAGTAGAGCTTGGTAAAGTTCTCCTTCCCTAATAAAGAGTGTGTTATATCTTGTTTAAAGTAATAGCATAGCAAACGTTAGCTTTTGCGCTCATAGGAAGGTACCCGACTGTACGAACCATTCCAAGTGCGTTTCTGTGTTAGTATTGGCTCAGCTGAAATGTTGAGATTTTCTTGCAGACTGAATGAATGTTGCAGTTATCTGTGAGTATAATACAACATATTAATCTTTTGTGTATATAGTGTAAAGACATGATTCATTGTCTTTTCGGAGTCATAGTTTACGTAGACAGTGCAAGAAATTTAAGATCCTTGTGTATTTTTAATGTTTTTCAATTACTAGAGAAATGGCAAAATGTTTATTATCATCATCAACATTTATGTTAATGAAAGGTGCGTTTCGTTAACTGGTTAATATCTTCCTTAAATCACGGAAACCTGTCCGTTCCAGTTTTAGTGGAATGCGATGTACAGTAATTAAAAATCAAATTATATTATATAGGAGATATAGCTGTACCTTATATTTGCGTAGGATAATAAGAAAGAAAAAGAAGAAATTGTTTGCTGTTGTTAATTTAGTTTCCTATCTCTTTGTGTTCAGCAGAAATCCCACCTGCCCACATGAATAATGCTAAAGAAGTGTAAATTTGGGGACATGACATTGTACACATGAACTCGCTGGTAGAACCATCTCCTTTTGCCTAACTTACGCCTACTTGTCAGTATTTAGACACTTGTAGAATAGTATAATGCTCTATCACACATTGTCACATAAAAGTTAAAAAACTACTGGCATCTCGATCTCGCGCATGTATATATATACATATATAAATAATATATTGGATTAAAATTTTGTAACAATAAAGCCAGAAGGCCAAAAAATGATGTGATCCACTTCATATGAAGTTGATTCTGTTGAAAGTGGTCTTCATCAACAAAATTCCAGTTACTGCTGTATCGCACCTGCTCATGTTCAAAATCGAACATGCGTTACAAAACAGTCGGCTGTGTTGAAGAGAAATAAACCAGTAATGTAAGAAATGAAGACTGTGGTGATAGGAAATTGCTATGGTGCAAGTTGTATTGGATTAAGTCTGCAAGTAGCATATATTTATTTTGTTGATGATGATCGTCTTATAAACCTTCCTTTCCTTTTACAGATTTTCCAATTTAAGAGATTGGGGAGTGACTGAGAGGCATTCTGGATAAATACATAAAGTTCATTTACAGTAAACATGAAATACTAAGATTGTTCAGGGAAAGTTTGCCTCTTTTATATTTTTTGCAACCTGTTTGTGTCTTGGCTAATTAAAGTTGTGTACACTACTTTACAGTAATAAGTGCTTGTAAAAGTGTGCCTTAACATTTTAATTAGATGTTATTGTTTGTGATAATCCCAGTAAAGAACATATTGAAATTCTTGAAGTTTTTATCATATATTGGATCCAATGTGCAAAATACAAATTACTAGAGAATCACCCATAACCAACAGATACTGAACACAGGAATCTAATTTCTTACATTTCATACAACACACAGATGAAATTATTTTGATGAAAGTATATATACTGTGTGTCCACAAAGTCCCTTCAGGGTTTTGAAAAATTGTGGCGCGCAAACAAATTGAGCTTGCCACATGTGGTTTGCCGCAGATTACAGTGAAACTCTGGAAGTTTATTACTGACCTCAGTAGACCTCGATGTGGGCTCCCTTGGTAGCACGGAGAACGCCCAGACGATATTCGAGCTCTTGCCATGTTCTGTGGAGCATATCCGCTGGAATAGCCGAGATCGCATTCCTGATATGGGTCTTCAGGTCATCAAGTCCGTTAACTGGTGTTTGGAACACATTGCTCTTGACATAACCCCACAGGAAAAAATCCAGTGGTGTTATGTCTGGTGAACGTGGCGGCCAAGGCATTGGACCGTCTCCGCCGATCCATCTTTCTGGAAGTGTCCTGTCTAGGTACGCGCGTACCTGCAGACCCCATTGAGGTGGAGCACCATATTGTTGCAGAATGATGTGTGGCTGTAAGTGCTCAATTTGTGGTACTGCGTACAGTTCAGCATGTCCAGGTAGGTGTTCATGTTGATCGTCTGCTCTTGAAAAAAAGAAGGGTCCAATAACCTGGTCATGCATTACACCACACCACAGGTTCACTTTTGGACTATTGCATATGTGCTCCCTAACAACGTGGGTTTTCAGAGCCCCATGTGCGCACATTATGCCTGTGAACTTTACCCGAGACATGAAATGTTGCTTCGTCTGTGGACATGATTTTTTTCAAGAAGTCCACATCAAGGTCTACTGAGGTCAGTAAAAAACTTCCAGAGTTTCATTGTAATCTGCCGCAAACCGCATGTGGCTAGCTCAATTTGTTGGCGCGCCACAATTTTTCAAAACCCCGAAGGGACTTTGTGGACACACTGTGTATATTTTGCATTTTAACTCATCAATTTGCAGCCAATAACATCATTGCCATTCCAGAACAACTTAAGAGCACTTCCTCACTAATTAAGGAAATTTATGGAGCGAGCCCGTTTGTTATTGATTCCACACATTGCATTAATAAAGCAATATATATGCCAGAGAATAAATTACGTTGATCATATCAGTAAAGAAGTTTGTAACACTCTCAAGGGATGGAAACTTCCTAATACCATCATGAGTACTAATGATTTTACGTATGCACCACAATTGATCATATTATTTTGTTGCTGAAGGCACTTGAAATAAACAAGAGGCACTTACAGGTAGGGTGTACTCAAATGTATATTACGATTTTACAGAAGACGTGAACCCGAGAGTAGTCGTTATATATTGTCAATGTAATATGTACATGTCAAGTGTGTTTTATTCCACTATGTGCTGAGTTGACTTGATAAAATGGAGCGTTCCAACATGGCACGTAGGATAAAACGACGAATGCTAGATAACCGAAAGTCATGTTATGTGGACTCTACTATATTCGGTTTCAGATTGGAACTCTCAGACAGGATTTTATGGAACTGGTCTATTTTGCCTATTTTGAAAAGAGAAAATCTTACAAATCTCTAAGAACAAATTCACATTCACGATACATATTAACTAGGCGTACACTCCACATATACACATCCAGACATCAGTACTCGCACAATAGAAACAACACATGCATGACAATGACCATCTTCTGGGATGTTACACCATGTAGTCTGGTAGAAGTTTACCAATGTTTCGGAGGTCATTGCTGCCTCGTTCATCAGGGTGATGAGTAAGCCACATGTGTAGAATCGGTGAGATATAGTAAACGCCGAACTGCTACCAGACTACACAGTGCTACAACCCAGAAGGCGGCCATCTTCATACTCACTGCTGTGAGAACCTCAAATCTTACTTGAACCGATCAATTTTAGCAAAAATTGGTATGGAACATTTTGCCATTGGAGGTTACCACAATCTTATACATTTTAATTCTGTACAGTCAGCAGCAACATGGCAGATAAATGACATGCCACTGAATCTGCAGTCCTAAAATTATGTATGTTAATAGATTTTTTAAAAATATATAACTTTTGCTAAAGTAATTTTTATGTACAATGTAAAAATAATAATATGATGTTGCAGATCTTAAATGTAGCTTTCAGTGATTAATAAATAATGGACCATTGGGGCTAGGAATATGAAATTTTGTATGATGATAGATTCTAGAAATTATTATTAAGAGAAGTCGGCTACAAATGCGGCAATGATGCATTTACAAAATTACTTGAAACTTGCCCAGACTATATTTGTCCTTTAAAATGATTTCTTTAATCTGTGACTTATTGAAGGAACTGTCCCAGAATAACTTGAATATTCAAAAGTTAAGCCTCCTTATAAAAAGGTTGAAGAATCATGCATCTATAATTACAGTACAGTTTTGTTACTGACATTCCA